GTGGAGAGGGAGCAGGGGTGAAGCAGCCGGGGGGAGGGAACCCACAAACCCTGGGTGCACCAGGCAGGTGGGAACGGAGGGTTGGTCCCCACAGCTGGGTCATCCCCTGCAGCCACGTCCCCAGGGGGCTGTTGGGACCCTCCCTGCTGTGCTTTGCCAAACAGACCCCCCAAATGGCTGGTGGGGCAGGGTGACCCTGGGCAGAGGTCACCGAGCTGGCTGCTGGCTCTGTAATGAAGGCCATGTTTAATTACAAACTGCCTTCTTCCTGTCTGGCCCAACAGTGCTGCTTGCACTTGAGAAGGATGCAGCAGTTGAGCAATTGAGACCCCCAAATGGTTCCCCAAAGCCTGCAGGGTTTGCAGCTGGCTACAACCCTCCTGCCACAGGGACTGGCAGTGCCAGATGGGGAGCAAGTGGCCATTTTGTGCTATTTGGAGATCTTGGCGCCCACCAGCATTGCAGTGAAACCATCCAGGGGTGTGATGCTGGTGGCAGACGTTGCCCTTTGCCTCCAGTCCCTTCTGGGAGCACAGGCAGGACGTGTGGCCTTCCCAGTGTGCTGGGAAGCCTGTGGTGCTAGCTGAGCCCGAGCAGGGATGGCTCAGTCACTGTTGAGGGTCTCTTCACAAACATGCTCCTGCCCCCCAAGCGTTGCCAAGAAGTTGCCAGGTGAATTCTGGACAGGCACAGTGAGAGGCAGAAAGCAGGCAGGGCACCCAGCAGGGCGGCACCAGTTGTGTGCTGGGGCGCTTCCACAAGCGGGTGATGGCAAAGATGAAGGTGCTGTGGACTGGCTCTTCCCCGGGTGTTTCCCTCCGCTTTATGGGATGTGTAGGCAGGGCATGGTGCAGGCAGCTGCCCAGGGTTGGGGGGACGGGTACGTGCAGGGGGCCCCCGCAGAGTGAGCTCTTGCCCTGTGTTGCAGCTCCTGGCACGGATTGAGCGCATGGAAAGGCGGGTGCAGCTGGTGAAGAAGGACAGCGAGCGGGAGAAGCACCGCATCTTCCAGGGCTTTGAGGTGGATGAGAAGCCGGAGGCAGAGGCTTGTGAGAAGCTGCCATTGGAGTGTCCTCAGGACCTGCTGGAGCCCCCCCCGACCCTGCAGCCCAAGCACTTCCCCTATGGCAGGAATGGGAAGGGACACAAAAGGTAGTGGGTGCTGTGCTGGGGGGTTGTGGAGCCTGGGGAAGGGAAGGGGACAACCTTCCCCATGGCTTCATCTTCCATCCGTGGGGCTGGCAGCACATGGGGAATGGAAGTGCCAGCCCAGTGACCCTGGTGTCGCTCAGGTTATCCAGCACTAGGAGTGCATCCCATTGAGCCCTGGTCCTGGCAGGGGGGTACCCTGTGAAAGCCTGGGCGAGGAGCATGGGGTCCTGAAATGCTGGGGAAGCCCCTCTTGCCTCTGGAAACCTGTCTCCAGCCAGCCCTGGAATGGCAGCCCTGGTTTGGGGGGCGTGGTAGCCCTGGAGCGGGGCAAGGATTTGCACAGCAAGCTCAGCTCCTCTTCCTCCTGCAGGAAGCCAACGTTTGGGAGTGTGGAGAGGAAGACGCCTGTTAAAAAAATGGTGTCCGAATTCTCAAAAGTGAAGAGTAAAACTTCGAAGCACTCCCCAGGGAAGGAGGAATCGGGCAGCTCCTTGTCTGAAACTGTTTGTAAAAGAGAACTGCGGAGCCAAGAGACTCCAGAAAAAACCAGGTCATTCCTGGAGACCCCGCTCCGAGTCTCAGCCCCACCCAAGGGCCCTGGTGCCCACCCCAAGGAGAAGAGCTTCTTCAGCAGCGAGGCAGACGACCTGCCCTATCTCTCAACCACGGAAATGTACTTGTGCCGCTGGCACCAGCCGCCCCCGTCGCCGCTGCGGGAGCCTTCCCCAAAGAAGGAGGAGACTGTAGCAAGTAAGAGCAGGAGAGCTGGCCATGGTGCCGGCATCGGGTCAGAGCTGGTGGCCAGAGCAGGGTCTGGTGGATTGGGAAGCCAGCAAAGGGCAGAGAGCCCCAGATGCAGTGCCAGTAGCAGCCCTGGTGCTGTGGCTCCTGAACCACGTCTCCAGCTCGCTCTGCCCTGGCCCTGCTGGGGTCTGGGGCAACGTGCCGGGCAGGGGTGCTGGTCCTGTCCCATTGTCCGGGCAGCCAGCGCCTGTTTGAGCGAGGAGTGAAGCACCTTCCTGCTGGCGGTTGGGAAACGTGTCTCTGGCTTGTGCCAGCACGGGTCCCTCCGTGGGGTCACCTGCTGTCCCCAAACCTGGTGCTGTCCCACAGGCTGCCCCTTCCTGGCTGATGTCCCGCAGCGTGGTGAGCGATGGGGAGCACGGGGCTGTGCCGGGCGGCTGGGCACCCTGGCGTGGGGGAGCTTGGAGTGGTTCCATTTTGCTGGCATGCTTGGCCGGGGGGGGGACACGACACAGTGACAGGGGCACCGG